AACGAAGCAAGGGAGTTAATTTCTGACGGGACAAAGGGAGATAAATGTCTGACGAGTCAAACAAAAGACTGTTATTCCTAATTGAAAAAAAGAAAAACTTGTAATACATCTTTTTTCATAAATTTGTAATACATAAAAACATGTTCAGACTATTTTCCGCGTTTTTGTTATTGCCATCAAACCTTTTCGGTCGTTGCGTTCTCCAGACATTTGGTGTATGGCCGTCCGGGTAACTTACTGGAAATTCTAAACTGAAACTTTTATCTTATCTACAGCTTGGAATCGGTGAGCAAATTTCAAATTCCAGCTTCAACATGTGAAAAGCCTGAATCCATCTCTTTTTTTTTTTTGTACCCACCTACACCATCTATGAGTTAAGTAGCAGGGTAGACTGGGCTCTATAGCCTTGTTTGGCAGCCAGTGTACAAAAAGGACTAATCTGAATTCAGAAATTGAGTATTGCTTCCATATCTGAGCTGAAGCTGTCCAGTTCTCACTTTCTTAGAAATTGTAAAGACAGTCTTGATGGAGAGACTTATTCTCCACTGTACAGACACATCCATTGCAAACCAGTCAATATTTTATTGCTCTTACCATGCAAATGTTCAGATGAGGTTCATTCCTTAGTTCTACTATTTCAGACCTTTACAGCTATGACCCACCACATCATGGAGAACTATTGCTTGGTGGAACAGACTTCTGAAAGGTTGCTTCCTTAATTGCTACAATCATAACCTATTTATGTCAAGGATCAATCATTAGCTTTCTTAAATATCCTCTTATAAACATCACTTCTTCCTTTTATACTCTTACAACCACCTCATTCAGTATCCCTCTATCTTGAGTGGCTCTTAGGTCTTGTAATGGATGAAAAAAAAAACCCCACTAAACTTTGGCTCTTGTGATTACTCACATCTCTGTAATAGGGAACAAAATAAGTGCAAGGTCTCTATATCAGATGAGCACTTTGCTAGGGTACCTAGACTGTATGAATTTAAGCACAATAATAAACTAGCAGCCAGATCTCATCAATTTACAGTTGATCTAGCTAGATATAGCCATAGCTCCTATACAGACAGTTTCTTGATCCCGCTCTTCTCATTTGTGGAACTCCCGCCCAGCTCTATGCTTTCCAGCCAATTTTAATCTGCAAAAATTTAAATGCAATGTCAATTGCTATCTACTCATTACTAATGTTTCTGTTCTTAATAATCCCCCACCCACTCTGTATCCCCTTGTGTCTTAGTGGCTGTACTGCTTGACTTGGGGTGATACTGATTAAAAAAAAAAAAAAATAAACCGTAATTGTAATGATATTAAGATAAAAAGTGTTCTGTTGTAAGTTGGGAGAAGATGATAAAATTGTAATCAAGAATTCATCAAGCTCTTGAAATTTACATTAACCAAAGAACAAAAGAAAAATTTTAAAGAAATATTTAAAAAAAAAACTTACCAATTCTAAAATAAAATATTTATAAATCTAGAATTCCTTTTTCCATTTTTATTTACGACTACATTCCATTCCCGTAATAAGATAAAAATAGAAGTAATAATAAGATATTCAAAGCTTTTTGTATTAATTTCAGTGAGTTGTCTCCCTTGTTCATTGTTACGATGGCGCATTGAAACTAAATTTTAATCCTCTAAAAAGTAGTAACGTTTTAACCTTTAACGAATTCAATTCTGAAAATTTTCCCATAAAAGATAAAGAGGAGGTGGAGAAATATTTAAATAGCCATAAACGCATTAAAATTATCATATACAACTTTTATAGTTCTTGTGACTGACGTCCCTTGATTGTTTATCTAAGCGGGATAACTCTTGCAAATAATTCGTAACATTTTTTTTTCTTTTCCAAAACACTTTCTTTTTTGCTAATAATTGTCGCCGTAAAAAATATAAATATAACTAGATTATAAATATATATAAATAATAACTTAGATTAAATTTAATTATGCAAGTACCAAAAGAAATAAAAACAGAAACATTATTTTAATTTTCGATATAATTCAGAGATATTATTTGAAGATGTGAGAATAGTGTAACAGTTGTCGTCAAGTTTAAACACATTCACTTTTGCACAACTGCTCATGGAAAGACAGGAATCAGTTGCTTCTCCCCCCATCTATAGGTTAAATTGCAGGGTAGAGTGGGTTCTATCCCTCAGTAGCAATTAGTCTGAGAAGGAAACTTTAAATTCAAAATCATGAAAAAAGCAATAGAAAACTAATCCACTATATTTCCGAAGAATGCATGTCATTTCAGGGAAAATAAAGAAAAGGAATCTGTAGAGAGCCATGATCACCTAAAGCAAAATGTACATGTCATGTCATATCAAGTAAGACAAAAGGTGTTACTTATAGATCAGGTGGAAGAATAGCTCTTAGTTTAGAAAATGTTATGGTGGACTTCACCACATTAATTTAACTTAGATTAGAAAACCAAACAGAGGTGAAGAAAGGATAAGCCAAAACCATCATCTTACTTATTATAAAACACAGATTGTGTGTGTGTCTGTACGTTTATATATTGGATCGGATTTCCTATATTTTTCAACCGATTTCAACGACTACATAAAATTACCTTGCGGTGGTTCTAACAGCGCCAAATATTGGAAAAACACAATTGTTTTTGCACGAAATCAATTTGAAAGCACGGTTAAGTGTATCGCACCCGGCCAGAAGTTACTGCCGGCTACTCAAACGTCTGAATGCTGTTAACTTCCAGTGATTCAGCGTTTTTTTTTCAGAGAACGATACACAAAAAGTAAACAAATGAAATCTAAACATATACAAGTCCTCCTAACTAAAAATAATAACCCGAAACTACTTAAATACACATGGTCTCCAAATTTTTTTTACTGTATTCAATAAGTAAAAATCATAAATTCTAAAAGATTACAGAAAGGCTACTAAATGAATACGATTTGTTAGATCATAATTAATAAACCCAAATAAAGTTAATATTTTTTGTATTAGAAACAACGAGTGGAAAATATATTCAAATCAGAATTCTAATTATGAATCACAACCAAAATATGCAATTTTTTTACTGTATTCAATAAGTAAAAATCATAAATTCTAAAAGATTATAGAAAGGCTACTAAATGAATAAGATTTGTTAGATCATAATTAATAAACCCAAATAAAGTTAATATTTTTTTGTATTAGAAACGAGTGGAAAATATATTCAAACTAGCAGTAGTGCCCAGCATTGCCGGGGGATGTAACAGAGATAGATCAAGTATCAACCATCATAAAAACTGAAAAATAAAATTGACAAAGATTATTGTTTTAGGTTGACGGACATGCATGACTTAGTTTTTTTTTTTTTGTTTTGTTTTTTACGAATTGATCAAACTTAAACAAAAACATTGTTTTCAATTGTTATGAGTCTACCGATTGAATAGAATTTTATTATAAACAATTGCCTTGTAAATGGAATTTTTAAAGCATTCTGAATGTAAAAATAAAGAAAAAAGTGTGCAAGACAATAAGAAACACTACCTGCCAAAAAAAAAAAAAAAAAAGTGAAGTTTTGTTGAAATCGGTTGAAAAATGTAGGAAATCCGATCCCATATATAAACGAACACACACACAACCTGGGTTTTATAATAAGTATAACTCGATATGAGTTGTCCCCCTTTCGTTTTTGCGATGCCTAAGGATGTGAAAGATGACATGTATTGAGTGAAACAAGAGTTGTCTCTCTAACTATTATTTGTATTCCAAAGTTCACTGAAAGAAAGATAGTTTGTGATAGTTTCTGGTAATAAATGTTTCCAACAGTTTTGCTGTGTAAGGAAAAAGATTAAGTGAGTGTAAGGAATATTCAGTATGTGAGTGGTGGTGTGAGTGAGAAGAATGGCGCATGGTTTCAACTGTCAAGGATTCGTTTGGCAGCTGAAATCTCAATAATTATCTAAGAATATTTCATGCTTATATTGGGGATCATCGGCTCTGAATCACTACATGGGAAGAATTGTTCTTCATGTGCAGACAATCTGATTGGTTGGTAGTGAGCGAGCTTTGCGGAAACTCAAGAAAGCTTCTGGGATCCGTTTCTCCCAAAAGTGCACAAAATCAATTACATGAAAATATAACGATTATAAAATTGTCGCATTGCTGCGATTTGTAAATTGTCTATTACAAAGTAGTGTTGATTTATTATCCAATGAATGCTTGACGTTGTATGATTTGTATGTATGTATGTATGTATGTATGTATGTATATGTGTGTGTGTGTGTGATGTAGATTGTCACACTGTCAATTCTCACTGACCTTAGGGAGAGAAAGGTTAGAGAGAACTGACTTAGTCATATTGGTATAAGCCAGAGAAATGTGCAGGTATAAAGTTAATTAGTCCCTTCTAAAGTTCTCTTGATAACAGCGATGGATGGATTGATTGATTGATTGATTGATTTTCTATGGCTTATCAACCCATTGCAGATTATTTAAAGCCAGAATATATTTTTTTAGACTAAGAATGTTTTCTTTTTGGAGATACAAGCCTTACTAATTAACCCATAGCTGTGGGTAAGAGGTGGATTCATAACTAATCAGAATTGATAATCAAACAAGAATTTATAAAATGGTGGATTAATTCTATATTATGATCGGTATATAAACTGATCCCTCATTTTGTGGCCATAGTAGTTTCTATACAATGATATTCCAGAGAATATAAACAAATCTAAAAGGCATGCCTGTGTATCTAATCAGTATTTCATTGATTGACTAATTCCTTTTCTACGGCTTATCAACTCTTTGCAGATTAATTAAAAGCTAGAAAATGTTTTTTTTAGATTTGTAAGATTTTTTTTTTTTTTTTTTTTTGAGATAAGGGTTTAGTTATACAAGTTTTACTAATTAATTCATATCTGGGGGAAGAATAGGTGAATTCACACCTTTCTCAAGGGTAATTTACAAGTAAGAGAATATAACAAATCCAACTGGAATTTGAACTCGGTTCTCCAATTAACTATTCCAAGCCATTCTTCATTACGACACGCGGTATTCCCAAGCAGTCACCCATCTAAATACTGACTAGGCTTGATGTTGTTTAACTTCAGTGACCATACAGAAACCAGTGTTTTAACGTGATGTGGTCGTAAGTTTACAAACAGCAAAATGGCTGCTACCTCTCTTCTAGGTGCCATGGCTCTCCACAACTTCCTATCCCTTGTGGTTCTTACCAGTGTTTCTCCTTTTGCCAAGCCTCCTGCCCCATATTCCACCATCCATTCTGTCAAGCTTGTCAGGTATTTGGCCTCCGTTCTCTTGTCCTTGATATGCCCACTAAGGGTTAAATTTCCCAGATCTCTTTAAAAAAATATTCTCTGGAATGATGAAGAGGTATTTCACATAGGTGGGTTTGTGAAGCATCACAAACTGTCATTATTGGGTAGGTGAAGATCCTCTGGTTACCTCTGAAAGAATGCAGAATCAGCCTGATGTAATGGTGTGGTGTGGGAAGACTTGAGACAGGGATGGTGGGTCCATTCCTTCTTCCTGATACCATGAATGCCAAAAGGTACTTTACCATGCCGCAAGATGAAATCTGGCCATCTATTTAAGCTTGGGAGAATGTTGAAGATTTGATTTTCACATGAGATGGCACCCCTCCACATTTTCCTATTGTCGTTCGGGAATGGCCAAATGCTCACTTCCCCAGGAGATTGATGGATCGCCGTGGTCAACCAGGAGTCCTGACTTAATGTTATACTGGAACATACCTATTCTATTGTTAATAGACTCTCCCACATATAATAGGTAGTAGTAGTCTCCAGGGGGCTCAGTGAGTTGGTGAGTCTGTCGATGTTGGACATTAAAGTATCAGCCACCACAACTAGATTGCTGCATCATTAACTATTATAACAAGTTCCTAACATTTTGTACGTCGAACCTGTTTTAGGACAGACTTAGTGAAATACAAGCCTCCACTGTGAAACTACTCTACAACACTTAATACCCTGTGACTTTTTTTCTTTGGGGTTGGTTAAAGAATGAAGTCAACTATGCCAAACCAAAGACTTTGGAAGAACTTGAAAGGTGAATACAAGAAATTATCTTCTATCCTACATGAGTTCTTGATGAAATCAGTTGACGGTATTCCTGGACGGCTTGAGAAGCTGGTAGCAAAATCAAATTTTAAATAAAACTTTTTCTTGTAAAAATTATAGTTAATAAATAAACCCTAAGTATTTTTTAAAATGGAGGAGTTACTTTTCAATAATATATATATATATATATATATATATATATATATATATATATATATATATATATATATATATATATATATATATATATTTTAAGACATTTTATGTTTATACATTTTTTATAGATACAAATATTTAAGTAAATGCTCTGTTTATGATAAACAGTATTAAACAACATTTACCGGCCTGAATGTCCAAGAAATTTTCAGAAAATATTTGTCCTCCGACAGGATTTGAACCTGTATCCTATATGTGAGAGATTCATGGAAGATTGAAGTTTAAATACAGTAAATTCGACCTTGCTAACTGAACACTCCTTTGTAGCCAAATCAGTAAAGGCATGTCAAGCTAAATGATGGTTCCATATTCGAATCTTGTCGGAGGACGAATATTTTCTATGAAAATTTCTCAGACATTCAGGCTAGTAAATGTTGTTTAATATTGTTTATTATAAACAGAGCAGTTACTTAAGTATTTGTATCTATAAAAAGAATGTATAAACATAAAAATGTCTTAAAATAATTGTTGGACTTTGTCTATTTCATAATATATATATATATATAACAAATAAGTGTTCATTTATCTGTCCCTTCTCCCTTGTTTTGTGGAGATTACATAGTGGGCTTCATACCAAAATTTATTACCCCACCCCTGATAGATTGATGTAATTTCTTCAGAAGTTAAAGTGCATCAATAGTAATAAATAAAAATAATATGCTTACTCTATCTCTTGATACTGAGCACTATTATTAAAATTGTTACATTCCAGATATACAGATTGCCCCATTTGTTTGTTTTTTGCAAATACACAATATTTGTTTATATATATGTGTGTGTGATCCACAGACAGTTTCACTGTATTACAGGTCATCAGTGTGGCTAGACATCCGATTGGCTCCCAACTGATTTGGCAAAAGTCAGAGATTTTTCTTCTGCACTATCAGCTCCCAACAGAGTAGAAGGTGAATTTTTACATATTTATTTTAGAATAAACACGCCAGTGGACTCAGAGTGCTCAATTCATAGATGAGCTTTGCATTATCAGCAGTAGCAATCACCGTTTACAAATTCATGCTTTTCCGTCTAAAGTGCTCAACTGAATTTTTATTTTTACGTGAGCTTATATATGTGCCATCCACACACACATATATATATTATATATTATATAAAATTGTGTATTTGGGCAGCAATTCCTCTTTTATACAAGTATCATTGAAGATGACTGACAAAGCATTGTGATTAAGCTTTACATTATATTTTTCTTGCATTCATACAAGTGATTTTTTGGGACACATTCTATAAGAACTGTCCAAATAATCTTTGGATCCAAACTCCTTTCAACTAATCTATTAGCCATTTTCAAGTATTTTTTTTTTTGTTTGTTTGAATATGTAGAATTTTATTTTTAGAAATAGGAATATATAAACTTAATAGATATACATTAACTGATTTACTGATCTAACTTTACCTTAGGTTGAAGTACATTCATATCCTGCTAAATCTTATTAAATACAACTAGGACTTAAATGTTCAGGACTGCTAGGTATTTAACTTATATAAATATGTTTCTCTGAATTTAATTAATAATCATTTAATTCAAATCTCTTAGGTTTTTAACTTAAATTTCTTGGTTGATTATAACAAAAGCTTATACTAATTTTTTTTTTTTTTTTGCTAATTTCAAAAAACCTTTTAAAAATATTCTGAACCAGACACTTTTTTTAATATTATTTACAGAATTAGTTGAACGAAATACAGGGAATTAACCCCGTTCTAACTTTTCCTTAGTTTAAAGTCCATTCATATCCTGCTAAATATTAATAAATACATCAAAGATACTTTAGATATAAATATGTTTCTCTGAATATAATTAATAATCATTTAATCCAAATTTCATAGGTATTTTAATTTAAATTTCTTGGTTAATTATATAAAAAGCTTATAAAATTTTTTTTGCAAATTTGAAATCTTTAAAAATGTTCTCTTTTAATATTATTCAGAAATAATTTGTTGAATGAAATATGTCAGAATTGAAAATTTGGCCAACTGACAGGAACAGACAGGATTGTTTCATATTCACACATTAAACCCTTACACTATCCTCAAATGACATAATAAGGTCAGTGTGTCAAAATAGGTCAACACTCTTTGTCTTTTCCTCCACTCTCTAAAGCAGATAGCAATCTGTCTATATTTCTGAGATGAGGTATTATGTACATTATTTACATTATTCAGACTCATCTTTGTCACCATATTTATTACAACACATGGCACAGTGGATAAAGGTGTTAGTTAGATCCAGTGACAGGACCCAAAGAGTGTGAGTCCAACACCCAGTTAAGGCAGTGGAGAACTTTCAGAGGGAAACTAACAGGAGATAACTGATAAGTGACGTCCATTAAACATGGCACATGGAACTAGAACAGTCTACCCCGGTGAGCGAAATAAAGGGTTCAGTTTGACATTCCAACCACCTGAAGAAGGCTGGAGCGTACAACGGCAGAAACATTGTAATAAATATGGTGACAAAGATGAGAACAATAGTCCGAATAATGTAAATAATGAAAATAGCAATATTTTTAACCCTAAATTTTTTCCATTTCATCTGTGATTTATTTGTAGGTCTTGAAGTTTGAGAGCTGCTTTTGTTTAGAGCTCACATGTAATAAAAATTATTACCTATGGGATTTTAAATGTTTGATATTCTTTAATTAATAATAATTTTGCTCTGTCTTTTGACAGAGAGCTCTCCCTGGATCTATAGCCTTCTAGACATTACATACAGATTACCATATTGTATCATTACTTTATATATATATATATATATATATATATATAATGAATGGACAAAGTCCGACAATTATTTTAAAACATTTTTTATGTTTAGACGTTCTTTATATAGACACAAATATTTAAGTAAATGCTCTGTTTATAATAAACAGTATTAACAGCATTTACCGGCCTGAATGTCTGAAAAATTTTCATAAAAAATATGCATCTTCCGACAGGAATCGAACCTGTATCCTATACAGAACCGTCATATACTGTTTATTATGATAACAGAGCATTTACTTCAATATTTGTATCTATAAAAAGAATGTATAAACATAAAGAATGTCTTAAATAATATATATATATATATATATATATATATATATATATAGTTGGATTGACGTGAGTTTGTGACCCTGGGTTTCATGCTTTTGCAAACTGATTCATTTTTTTTTTTAAAAACTCACATCAATCCAACCAAATATGTTAGCTCTATCTCTGATATTGAGCGCTTTCTAATAAGTACCGCACATATAATATATATATATACACACACACACATATATATATATATAACAACCATATAACATTAAATCACCAGTTCTCATCCAATCACTGAAGCTGAGAAATGTTGTGCCTCGTGAGTATCTTGCTGGGTGACCATTTTGGAATACCAGGTGCTGTAAGCTTTGATGTGTAGATAATATGGTGAATAATGGCTCAGAAAGAGAGAAATCAAAGAGTGGTAAAAAAACTGTGCCCTATAGCTTTGTTTGGCAACCAGGTACAGTTCTCTGGTCATGATTGGCAACCAATGTAGAAGAAGGAAAACTAAACTCAAAACTTGACAACAACTGTTTGGAGAAATTATGGCACACTATTTACACCAGTTCTCCATATTAGGTTCTTCAAAAATATGTGGATTGTTCTGCAAATGTCTTCACCTCTATAATCAAATCATGTGTTTGAGTAGTTTCACTGTTTAGTTCAAAGAGTTGAATTGTTGAGCCCATATATCAAAGACAATGGGATATCTATCATATACAGGTTGATTGAAAACTCCCTCCCTATTTTATGCATGAGTGACCAGCCAGGAGTTCTGACTTAACGCCCTGTGATG